GTCACACTCAGAACGTTAACAGATGAGTGTAAGCGGCTACAAAGCATCAGACACGACAACAAGTTGATTGAACAGGTAAATCCTAATTTAACCTGCAGTAGTGTCAATGCTATTACTAGGTTAAAAGTTAAGAAGCCGATAACAACTCGTAATAAACCAACGACTGCATGCTGGTTATGTGGTGATTGGCATTATGTACGATTCTGTCCATTTAAAAAGCATATATGTCAGGTGTGCAGCAAACGTGGACATAAAGAAGGTCATTGTCCACCGAATCGTACGTCTCATCCCAAAAAGAAGCATAAACGTTCTCGACATGTGAAATCAGCCGAGTTTAAATCTCTTTCTCTGGTAGCTGCCTTTCAAACAAACTATGACATTCGGAGAAAGTATGTTACCATCCAGATAAACGGCATATCAGCTCGTCTTCAAATTGACACGGCATCAGATATCACCTTAGTATCTAGAGAAACGTATAACTTGCTGGGTAAACCGCCAATGAAGCCATCTAAGAAAACGGCCAAAAACGCATCAGGTGGTGTGCTAAAACTGGTTGGTGAATTACAGTGTGAATTTTCCTTCAATGGAACTAACTGTACAGGAATATGTTACCTAACAGAACGGCCAAACCTTGATCTTCTTGGTCTAGATATGTTAGATAAACTTGGAATAATGGATGTACCGATTAACAGTGTCTGCAACGTATTGTGTTCATCATTAGACACCCCAGTACTTGCAAAGAAGACATGTGAAAGGTTACTAGAAAAACTGAAAAGAAAGTTTGCCTCTGTTTTTCAGAATAGCCTTGGCCACTGTACCAAGATGAAAGCTCATTTACCACTGAAACCAGATGCCAAACCTATTTTTCGTCCTAGACGTCCTGTACCATATGCTGCTCTTGAGTTAGTCGATCAGGAACTTAATCGCTTGCAACAGGCTGGTGTAATTCAACCAGTCAACTACTCTGCATGGGCCGCACCGATCGTAGTGATTAAGAAGGCGAATGGAACTATACGCATATGTGCCGATTTCTCGACCGGTTTAAATGCTGCATTAGATGTGTATCAATATCCATTACCAGTTCCTGAAGACCTGTTTGCCAAACTTAATGGTGGGACATGTTTCGCGAAAATAGACTTTTCCGATGCCTATCTACAAGTAGAAGTAGATGAAGACAGTAGAGAGCTTTTGACCATTAACACTCATCGAGGGTTATTTCAATACACCCGTCTACCATTTGGCATCAAGACTGCACCTGCCATCTTTCAGCAAATAATGGATACGATGCTAACAGGTATACCTGGTACAGCAGCTTATCTAGATGATATCATAGTTATGGGTTCAACTGACAATGAACTTTCTGATCGACTACATCAAGTCCTTAACCGAGTGTTGGAATATGGTTTCCAACTACGTGAGGAAAAGTGTACTTTCTTTATGCATTCCATCAAATACCTTGGTTTTATCTTAGATAAGAACGGTCGCCGACCAGACCCTGCCAACATCGAAGCCATTCAGAAGATGCCTGCACCAACTGATGTCTCTTCATTAAGATCCTTCTTGGGGTTAATCAGTCACTATAGCACATTCTTGCCTGAAATGCATCGAGTGAGAGGTCCGCTGAATGAATTACTATCAAAAGATAAACCTTGGCAGTGGTCAGCAGAATGTCAAGCATCTTTCGACAGAGTCAAATCAATGCTCAGCTCAAAGATTCTTTTGACACACTTCGATCCCAGCTTGGAAATTGTTGTTGCATCTGATGCATCTAGTCATGGAGTTGGAGCAGTAATATCTCACGTGTTTCCGGACAAATCAGAAAAGACAATTGCCCATGCTGCTAGATCACTTACCCCAGCCGAGCGGAACTACAGTCAAATTGAAAAGGAAGCTCTTGCGATCATTTTCGCTGTCAAAAGATTTCATAAAATGCTCTATGGTCGTACATTTACTCTACTGACAGATCACAAACCTTTGATTGCAATCTTTGGTTCTAAGAAAGGAATCCCTGTCTATACGGCTAATAGACTACAGCGCTGGGCAACAATGCTCCTGAGTTATGATTTCAATATCAAGTATCAGTCGACAAATACTATCGGTCAAGCCGACGCTCTCTCTCGATTAATTGGAGTTCAGCATCCTGGACCAGAGGATATAATCATTGCCTCCATAGCAGTAGACCCAGAAATACGAAGTATAGTGGCAGATGCCATTCGAAACACTCCAGTGTCGTCAGATGAAGTCAGAGAAGAAACTCTTCGAGACCCGATTCTACAAGAAGTTAGAAAGTTCCACCTGGAAGGATGGTCCACGAAGATCAGTTCCACAGAGCTTCAACAGTTTTACCAGCGTAGACTCTCTCTCTCAATCATCGACGACTGCCTGCTGTTTGCAGAACGTGTCATAATCCCAAAGAAGCTACAACCAGCAGTGCTTGAACAGTTGCACGCAGGACATCCTGGAATAAATCGCATGAAAGCATTAGCACGAAGTTATGTATACTGGCCGCATTTAGACACTCAACTGGAGCAGCTATCCCGTTCATGTACCAAATGTGCATTAGCAACGAAAGCACCGCGGAAAGCAGAGCTGCAATCATGGCCAATACCACAGTCACCGTGGCAGCGTATACACTTGGACTTTGCTGGTCCACTTCATGGACAAACTTACCTTTTGGTAGTTGATGCATATAGCAAGTGGCCAGAAATCTTTCTCATGGAACACCCGACTGCAAGCTGCACAGTCAGTAAGCTACGTCAACTATTCAGTCGTTTCGGAGTCCCGGAATTGATAGTTAGTGACAACGGAACACAGTTTACGTCCGTAATTTTCTCACAATTTTGTCGGCAGAACGGAATCCATCACGTCCGAACACCTCCATTCCATCCCCAATCAAATGGTCAAGTGGAACGCTTTGTGAGTACATTTAAAAATGCTCTAAAAAAATCTAAAGGGGAGGGGACCACCGAAGAGATCTTAGAGAGGTTCCTGCTTATTTATCGCTGTACACCGAACCCTCAGACGATTAAGGGGGTCTCTCCAGCAGAAGCTCTACTTGGCAGAAAAATACGAACACATTTCGATGTCATCCGTCCTACGCCAGCTCTTGAGCCTCAACGAAACCTGTCGATGGAGAATCAGTTCAATCGACATCATGGGGCACAAAAACGATTGTTCACGGTGGGACAAAAAGTACTTGCTATGGACTACCGTGAGAAACATCCTACATGGACAGCTGGTCGGATCTTGAAAAAGAAGGGGAGTGTGGTTTATGAGGTGTCAGTTGGCTCAGAAGTTTGGGTACGTCATGCTAACCAATTGAAAGCAACTTCGATAGCCAGCAACGAGATTCAATATCGATTACCTCTTGATGTTCTGCTAGACACCTTTGAAATCAAAACGCCTGGAACAGACAGGTCAGTTTCTGTGCAAGCAAAGAGTGATACTTCTTTATTGCCTAGACGATGGACAAATCGAAAGCACAGGTCAGTCACTCGGTTGCAGTTGGACCCTAGCACCAGATCCTACGAATCTGCTCAAAGGGGAGGTGTTAGTGGGACATAGATTGGATTTAAGCATGCTCAATGCACGATTGCTTTGGCGCACGCTGATTGGCTGATTCTTATCCAATCAGCGCTAGTCTATACATGGAGAAGCTTCTAGATTCTTCTTATGTAAAAAGCTATAAATACACTAACGGTTTTCCTATTTTGCTTCTTGCTTCCACCTAACCTTGTTATTTGGAATATAATCTCCTTCCTGCTCAATCGTGTTCTGATTTGGGGCCTTGTCGAGTGAATCTGTGACCGTGAATACTAAGCAATAGGAATAGCTGGGTTATTACCGTAAGAGCGAAAATATAACATTGGGAGATTCAGACTGCCTGGTTGGGGTCCGCGTGACTATCGTAACCAATGGTTGGAGACTCTTGGCGACATGGCTCAGAATCGATCACAATGGCGTCGGTGTATACACTCTCTGTCTTCCTTAAATTAAGAGATTAAAATCGCTTCATATCTGTCTAGGAACTACTTCTTTCTTCCTTTACTATCTCCTTATACACAATCTTTCTTCTATATATTACCACCACTGAATTAACTACTCCTATGAATCCGGTGTTCATCTTGTTGTGCTAATGCGGTATGGCAACTTGGACCGATGCATATACGTGCCTGGTCCTACGTTGCAGCTGACTGACTGACTGACTTTAACAATTATCTGCCTTTCCTTACATATTTCCATTATAATTAAATCCTAGACTGAATAAACGACTTAAGATGCACCTCATTTCCAAATGAATATATGAAGCTTATTTCCCTTAAACTAACTGTTTATAATGAAGCTGCACGATGATTGACACTAACGTCTGTTTTGGAGTATATATGACATATGTTGTCAGCTATGGATTTGTACTCACGATGTGTAATACAGAAAGTATTAAACATGTTAACCAGTGGGTATCTGCGCTGACCGGGCATAACATTTGCACCTGTCAAGAATGTTGATTTCTTTTTGCAGAACCAATGCTGATATAAGGTGCATTCGGCTTTCACCTTCAAACTACCAATATGATTAAAACAGTAATTGTTGTTGAATAGGTTACTACAACTGTTAACTAACACGAAGTAGTTTGGCAAGTCAACCAAAGTGATGCAGTCAAGTTACGAGTGAATTATTTACTACGATTCTATCTCACCCACACTTTTAGTCTACTATTCACCTTTAAAGGATAAATGGCTGTTTATTAATATTTACACTCGTAACAGTCATGTCTTTTACTAACGTGTGCTAGTTGATAAGACCATTTTCATCGCTTATATATGTCAATTAAAATACTACTTACACAAACAGATTAATCCAGATAGAAAACATGTATCGAAACGCTTTAAAACATAGTTATCTTTACAGATATCAATTTAATATTAATCTATCAAGTGGATATTTAAGTCCCATGATGGACAAACAAAATATCTAATGATGATAACAAATAAAACACTTACATGGGTGTTGAGCCTGTAAGACATAAGTTCAAATTCACCATCTGGAGGGATAAAAGAGATTGTTCGATCATTTTCAAATCTTGACAGCCTAACACATTGGTGGAATTTCACATCTTCCAGTTCTACAGCTTTGCCTTTATCGCCTATGTAAAAAATATTGGAGGATAAAGGTCGAGCAAACTACTTACGTCCGATGTTTTCAAATCTGACTTTATCGTTCACTCCTAAGCGGAGCTCAGGCATTCCAGAGAGATAAACACGAAGTTTTATGCTTCCCACAATCTCGCTGCGCAAAACGTTGCCAGTAGAGCTCACCTAACATTTTAAATATCAAGCAATTTAGGCATACTAATAGATTCACAGACTCAACAACATCCAAGAAAACTTCATTTTTCCGATACTTTACATTTTCCGAGCGCCAAGATACAGCATTTGTAACAGCAACTGGAGGACGTGGGGCCACCTCTAGTTTATGGCTCTCTTGTGTAATATATTCCTGAAGGATTTTTGTGTCAGTTGTCTGTGGATAACCAAAGTCCATAATTTCATCTAACAGTTCGTATGTAATAACAAAGTTATCACGAATACTCTCTTCTTCGAATTCCCCAAAATATTCAAGAAATATCTGTGTTGATGAGAAAACCAAGAAACTTACACTGACGAGTTTGTACAAAAATGCAAGAACCATTGCTACATTGGCGTTTTTGCGAGTTAAGCATACCAAATACAAGTAGTTGTATTTAACATATGTGAATGTTATTTCCCCTAATTGTAAAACTGGAATAAGACTGCCCTCCTCTTCACGCTCCATTGCAACAGGCATAAACTTTTCAATGGCACTAGTTTCAACATCACCACGATAATTCCTATGAATGAGCACTTTCCCTTTATTGTCTAAAATATATAATGCTGACACAACCATATCGTAGCGCTGCAGACAAGTTAGGCGCTAGTCGCCAGTAGGATAGGAAGTCAACCAACCTACGTTAATCCCTACAATTCGTATTACTGTGTAGATCCTCTGTCGCTTTAAATTATTGGTGTCTATTACTATTAAAACGTACGTAAATCATCCTGGCTTTTGAACGGACCTTACGGTATCCTTAACACTTTTGGACATCCTCTTGAACACCTACTTAAGCTTAGTCCAAACACTAACCTAATGTGTAACACCCAGAAATCAGAGATAAAACATAGTAGAACGGACTGCAAGCACAAATTCTACTCTTTAAGAGTTGTCAAATGCTGGAATTCGCTGCCGGCTGAGCTAGTTCAAGCAACTTCCCAGGAGTCCTTTAAGAGGCGACTTGATCTATTCTTAAGGACTAAGGATAGTATCTTACTATGATTTACCAATTTCTTTTTTTTCTCTTTTACCGTTAATACACCTAGGTTTTTGCCTGGAGGTATTGGTGATCCGCTTCTACTAGACACGGAAGCCTGTTAAGCGAAAGCTTCTTCTATTCCTTCCACAACCATTTGAATAACTTAGACAAGATGTTTCAGTATCAGTTTCAGTTTGGAAAGAACAGGAGGCTTGATGGCCTGTGTTAGTCCTGGCAATTGTGTTCTCTCAGTTGATCCAACTTTCTTTTGAAAGAATCTACGGATTGAGCTTCAACCACGTGTTCAAGTAATGAATTCCACTCGTTGATGATTCGGTGGGAAAGTCGATAATCAGCTGACAAGTAATTCGTTCTGGGCTTGTGAACTTTTTTGGAGTGTCCTCGTAAATTCTCTGTTTTGAAAGACAGGAAGAATGAGGGCATATCAGGTGCAAATTTATCACTAAGCAATTTGAAAACTGTAATCAAGTCGCCCCTAGTTCTACGATATGACAAAGGGAATAGGTTTATCTTGGCCAGTCGAGCATCATACGGAAGCTTCGCTATTACGGGAATCAGCTTAGTTGCTTTTCTCTGGACCTTTTCTAAAAGCTCACTGTCTTTTTTTAAGCAGGGGCTAGCCGCTTGTATGCAGTACTCAAGTTTGGGACGCACGAACACTGTATACAAAGTCAAAAATATTTTAGCGTCGACATGAATAAAAGCCCTATGTATTGACCATAAAGTTCTAAAAGCTTTGGCGGCTGTTGCACGGCAGTGTGCAGTAGTCTTCAGATCTTGGCTAACGATGACTCCTAAGTCATTATGTGTCTGGACAGCAGGTAGCTCAGTGTTATTCATCGTGTATGTTACTGAACCTTGATGACCGATATGCATCACAACACACTTGGAAGTATTTATCGGCAGCTGCCATGTATCAGACCATTCGGATAATTTCTTCAGGTCATTTTGGCGTTCTAAGCTATCATCCTTACATCGTATCGTTCTCCATATCTTGACATCGTCAGCATGTAGCAAGACCGATGATGATAATAAGCGAGGTAAGTCATTTACATACAAGTGGAATAGCACTGGCCCCAAAACTGTACCCTAGGGCACTCCACTAAGCACAGTTTCCCAGCTAGATAATTTTGACTTTACCCGTACTCTTTGTTGGCGCCCAACAAGGAAGTCTTCTATCCACGTCAATAGATTGCCTCCAATTCCGACATTTTTTAGCTTGTATAACAGCCGGTTGTGCGGAACCTTGTCAAAAGCTTTGCTGAAATCAATGTAAGCCACGTCTACAGGTAACTTTTGGTCCTTAGAAGCGCACCAGCTTTCTCGAGTGACTAATAAGTTAGTGAGACAAGAATAACCTATTCTGAAACCGTGCTGTTTCTCCGAGAGGATTCGGTTTACATCGAGGTATTTAAACAGCTCTTCCCGAATAATCTTTTCTAAGATTTTTACAACCACACTAGTTAGGCTAATGGGTCGGTAATTCTCAGGTTTATGTTTCGTACCTGTTTTGAAGACAGGACTTACTATGGCGTTCTTCCAGTCTTTTGGTAAACGACTCTGCGTGACGGATAGCTTAAAGCATATACTTAAAGGGTTCGCAACGAAGTTAGATAATTCCTTTAGTAGCCTAGGATGCAATTCATCGGGCCCCACGGATTTACCTATGTCAAGCTTATTTAGCAGATCAAAGACATTGAGTTCATTAATGGTCACGCTATCCAGTGTATGTGTGTGTGAGGGGTTGTATGCGCTGACGGGAAGGGTGCTTCTATGGTATATACGTTGCTAAAGTAGTTTGAGAACACTTCAGCCTTACCAAAGTCATCTTCCACTAATGATGCGGCAGTACTGTCTCCCCATAGTGCAGGGATAATTCCTCTTCTTTTTGTCCTTTCGTTTATATAGGAATACAGGCGTTTAGGACATTCTATGGATTCCTTAACAATTTTTTCTTCGTACAGTTTTCTAGACTTACGGAGGGTCGAGGCACAGGTATTCCTAGCTTTTCGGTACTGAGATTTTGTCTCATCAGACCCCAGTAACCTAAATCTATCCCACATTTTTCTTCTCTTACGGAGAAGGATGCGGACCTCCCTATTGAACCATGGTGGGGAGTTTCTCGGCCCCCTTGGTCTAGTCCAAGGAATGTGGGGTGCGGTAACTTTTAAGTATAAATTTCGGAATGCATTCCAAGCCGTTTCAATTGAGGACGCTGGGTCTATTGTCCAATCTACTAGTGATGCCGAGTGCATGATATCTGGTATGCTTGCTTTCCAGACGTTAGGTCTGGATTGAGTTGACGCTTGCTCGTGATTGACAGTTATATGAAAGTCAAAGTTTAAAACTGCATGATCACTTTTAACTAAGGGTGGCATGTAATGGAGGTTCGCAACGTCATACTCATAGTGAGTTAATATAAGATCTAGTAAGGATCATTCAGTGTCCGGGTCGTACCTAGTCGCTTCTTTCACATGTTGCACTAAGGCACATGTTATAACCGCGTCAATTAGTTCCTGCTCGAAGGAATTATCTGATGATTCGGTTCGCAGATTTCTCCAGTCTACCGTAGGTGCATTAAAGTCCCCTAGGATTAGACATCGACCACATCGCGACCAATTTTTGAGCCTGTTTAACAGGACATCATTTACCTCACAGCTTGGACTGCGATAGACCAAACCAATTAGCAGCTCTTGTCCCTTGAATTTCAAGCGGCAACTAATCAATTCACACGTCTCACTTTCATGGGATACACTATCAATGATGACAAACGGGATAGCATTCCTATTGAATAGAGCTACTCCCCCTCCTTTACGCTTATGTATTCTGTCTTTCCTTACTAAAGTAAAACCCTCAAAATCGAGTTCCATATTATCTATAGACTGTGTCAGCCAGGTTTCTGTGACTGCGATTATGTCTAGCTTTGTCGAGTCAATCTGTTCACCTAGTTCCGATAGCTTATTGAGCAGGCTTCGGGCATTTGTGTAACGGATCCTTAGCCTATTTTAGTGGCTTCGTGTTTCACCCAGACTGGCTTCGCCATCATTCTCTGACGAAGCCTCACAACCCGAAAATTTACAATTTTCAGGTCCTTTTCGCCAGCGTCTAACCTCATTTGTAGTTCTTTTTCGGCTTCCCGTCTTTTTGCACGGTCTGCCAACGGCAAGTCCATTCGGATAAAAACTCCCGAATCCTTTAATTTATGTCCATTCTGTAAAATTAAGTCCCTTTCATTCGAAGATTTAAAAACTACTTTAAGCAGTCTAGATTGATTAGGCTTCAAGTTCGCTAAACTACCTAGTCTATACACCTTTAGCAAGGTGACTCCGGAGATATTTTCAGGCATGAGTTGATTAAGTAGCTGTTTTATCAGGTCAATGTCATGCTCAAAACGAGTTTTTGGTTCGGAGCTTTCTCTCTCCTTGATCCTATGAAAAATGACTGATGTGTTACTGTGATCAGCATTCGGTTTTTCGACTACTTTTGTGGGGGCAGGGTTCCCTTTTATATCGTTTTTCTTCTTCTTCCTCACAACCTGTACCCATTCGTCAACGTTGCTTGGAGAAGCAACCACAGTCGCGTCAAACATACTGTGGGATTCCGGAGGGTTTTCGATGACTTGGGAGGTCAGGTTTGGTGTCCCTTTGGAAACTGATCGAGCCTTGCGGATACCATTTTGAGGACGTGGGACAGAAGAAACGTTTTTCCTTGAGTTTTTTGTGCGGACAGAACTCTTTGGGGACTGTTCTCCCTCCTTTGGTCGGTGCGAGTCATCTGTTTTCGAACTCACTTTAGTTTGCCTCACGCCAATTTGCGCGTCAACGGAGCGAATACTTGATGATGTGTCGCGACCACTCTTACCAAAACATTTTTTAGCAGCACTAACCAATGAGATGGCCTCGGTTAGCAAACTGTTAGCATCCGAACAGCACTGTTGACAGAGCCATACGCAACCATTCCTACTGAACCGTTTGAAAGCTGCAGGCGTTAAATTTGTGCAAACTTCGTGGTACCATCCTTTGCACTCATCGCACTGCATGCCGCTTTCAACAGGATAACGACAGCCCGGGCGTTGACGATTACTTTTTTTGCACTGTTCAGTCATTTAAACACGGGGTTTTTTAAAAAAAAGAACTAGATGCAAAAACACTCAGGGACAAAAAAACAATCTATGACCAAAAAAAGTGGAAAACTGTGGATCGTTGGAACCAAAAGTACTAACAGATACTATAAAAAAAACAGAGTACTCAAAAGTACTGCCAACAAAAATACTTTAGAAACAAAAACAAAAATAATCTAATCGAATACTTTAACTGAAATGAACTCAATTAAAGTGAAAAAACAGTAGTTTTGATACGTATAAACGATCAAAACAATAGAATTTACTCAGCGAGGAAAAATACCACTGTCCTTTTTGAATAGCGCCGTTGAGCCATTTTTACTTTCATAATAACACTTTTTCTCATAGAAAATCGTGACATTTAACACACGTACACGTCTTATTTTTATTTCCTTGTTTTCTACACTGATTATCCTCATGAATGTATGCTTGTCATTTATTATTATATATAGTTCCTGTCTCTTTGACAATATATGCACTGTCGATTTTGAG